CAAAAACCAGCCCAGGAAAGCTCCCTGACAGCATCAGCCAGGGGCAAACACAATGTGGTGGGCAGGCTGAAAGAAAACTGAAAACCTGTGTTTTCAGGTCATTTCACTATTCTTTCTTTCTCTTCTTTCTTCCTTTTTTCTTCCTTCCTTCCTTTCTTTCTTTCTTCCTTTCTTTTTCCTTCCGCCCTTTCTTTCTTCCTTCCTCCTTCCTTCTTTCTATCCTCCCTTCCAGAAAGAAAGAAAGAAAGAAAGAAAGAAAGAAAGAAAGAAAGAAAGAAAGAAAGAAAGAAAGAAAGAAAGAAAAAGAAAGAAAGAAATGAAATGTGAAGCAAACCCAGATAACGTTGTAATTTTGGATTATTTTTATTTTGGGGAAAATTTCAGCCTTTCCCAGTCCAAGCCTGCACTGGGAAGTTCCCTCTCTACCTTACAGAACATTCCCTTGTATTTYCATTAAGTGCTGCACAAACATCAGATTGAAGGCTCCCAAGTGCAAATATTTTTTGTTTTTTAGGAAACAAGAAAGATAAATAGAAAACAAGTTGTGATTTCATCAACCRTTTTAATGAAGCCCCATGTCCAGCAAAGTACCTAAAGCTGAGATTAATTCTTCACTGGCCACTCTGTGTTATTTTAATGATGTGCTTCATGTGAAGAGATTTTCTGAAGCCGCTTTTAATGGTGCTGGGGAAGGTGCAGAAGCAGCAGTTCAGTCAGAGGTCACTGAAAGGAAAGCAAAGTTTCTCTAAAAAAGGCAGCTTTATTCCCCCGTGCAGTCCTCTATATTTGAGWGCTCCTTTGGGTGACAGGTGTACAGAATTTAGGGGGATCAGAGCCTTGCAGGGGTTAATGCCCTAGTCCTTGTTCACATTACCTGCTCCCAGTGCCACCACAGCAGTGAGSAAGGTGAGATTTGCATAATGCTGATGAGTTTGGAGCCTCCAGAAAGCACAAGTGCTTTGTGATGGCAGTTCCAGCGCAGCAGCAGCCGGGTCTTTATTTATTCAGGTCAGCTCYCACAGCAGCACCGGCACCTCTGCAGGGCGAGCTGGGGCTACAGTCACACTGCAGCCAGACAGGATGAAATCCCCTTTATCTGGCTGCATTTAAAGCCTTCAGCACTGCCCCCCTTCCCCTGCAGACAGGGACCTGAAAGCTTTTAAGGTTTGTTGGGGTTCTGCTGGAGAACCCCAGCCTGGGGAGGGCCGGAGCAGGGCTGGAGGGAGCAGCAGATCCCGGCAAGGAGGGAAAGGATCGAGATGGTGCAGGGATACAGAGGGAAGGTCAGCAATGGGAACATCTGCTCCGGCAGGGCCTGCAGAGGGTTTGTACCCCGAGCCCACCCCACAGCTGAGGTGAACAAGGACGAGGGTTTGTGCACAGCCCCGGTGCTGGGTGAGAAAATGG